AAAAATTACGGACCGATTGGTTTTATGGGTCGGCGGCAGTAACTTGGCGTTATCAATATCTTCGAGCTACTTTGTATGATTAGCGGAGGTGAGATTTTAACGGGGGACGTCGTCACCAATAAAAAGTGTTTATTGTTGTCGATGTGCCCATTAGTCGTTCGTGGCGTTTAATGGCTGCTGGCCATCACGTGACTCGGGTTATTGGCCATTCTTTATAGAGCCTCTAATAAAGGAGCGGTTTAATTGGTTTTGGTCTGGTTTACAATTGGTGTTACTTCTTCGGTGATAATATTGCTACGTTTGAAATTTAATATTGAATTGTCGTTACCGCGCGCGGATGAATCTCCATTTCTGAATCCCACTGAGTGACAATTGACAATTGAAAATAGTTTATTGTCTTCTAGACAATGTTACATCTCAAAGAGAAAGAGAGAAGAGAGGGGTATATACATTAGGTTAGCGCTTGCCGCGGTGACGTCTAGTCTTGGGAGTCAAGGCCCTCCTGAGCTCGGACAACCCGCTGAGGATCCTGGGATGGGAATCCCGAGCGCGCTCGATGGCCGCCTCGAAAAAGACAGGGTAGTTTTTCTTCAAAGTAGGCGAGAGTCTCGCAAGGAAAGGCGCCCTAGAATGGGGATGTAGGATGGCATCAATGGCGTCGGTCCAGGAGGTTTCATCATCGACCAAGGGTCCAACGTCGATTTTGGAATTGATGATCTCTGTTAAAATTCTATCAATGCAATCACCCGAGTTCGGCGGCAGGTCTTCCTCCATCCTGAGTGTGTGCGAGACATCAGCTAGCCACCTCCTAAACTCTTTAATAAATAAAACCTTGTTCTTTGGGAAGTGTAGAATTTGTTACCCTTGTCCTTTTTTTCAAAATCTTCAAAAAACAACAAGAGGCTTCTCAAACTGTGAAGCTTGAATTGCTGTTAGGGTCATCACATTCAATACTAATCCCTTTCCGATTAAACAATAGGGCCAAAATTTTGAAGTCCAACCTATTTTCATTATCCTGAATGTCATATAATAGGAGGCTCATACAGAGAGAAAGTGTCAAGAAGTTTTAAATACAGATAATCTGTGAGGTAGTATAAAGAGAGAATGCTACAAGTTAGACCTCGCCAAACCACATTGTCTGACGTAATATGTAGCCTTCTGACACAAAGACCGTTAAGTTCAGGGGACTCAGGGCTCACTGCCCCATCCACTATCGCGGGAGAGGATAAATTCCTCTGGATTTGATTATTATTGGGAAGATCTATCCGAGGCAGTCACCGTGTCGGTCATACCTTTGCTAGACCGTGGACCTTCCTTCTGTCTAACTACGCCTCACGGGTTCTTCCCCCGACCCATGGCTCCTGTGTGCGTAGATACCACTTCCACCTCGACCGCTTGCATTTTCTGGAATGCCTAGAGCTTGACATGAATGGTATTAGAGATTCATTATTTCAACTATGTTTAAATTCATTGGTAGAAACTGTCTTCATAAAAAATCTAGGAGTCCATACTCAGCTGGAATCTACTGACAGAAAAAAAAATCTATGTATTTTCTGGTTAGGAAAATGTTCGGGCTATTTTAGATTCTCCTGTCATTTATCAGAAGACACCTTATAAAATAATAGATAAGACACTATATTAAAGTTATTACAGAACGACGGATGTAACCCCTATTGACGCGATTTTTCATTTGAGGCCAGAAACATGCAGGGAAATGAAAACTTCACGAAAGAGCCGCCTAAAAGTTGACGGCGTGTTGTCACGCCATTGTGCAGGATGTCTACTTCACCTTGTGATTGACCTGAGGGTCCTTGGTACAGCAGTTACTACTATTGGAAGTCCGTTGATTGGTTCTGTTTGGATGGACGCAAACCCCATGGCCGTTCCTTCCACGGGGGAGCAGATAGTCGCAGGATTAGCCGCGGCCAGCAGACGCAGATGGATTCTTCCAAGGTGGAGATAACGTCATCCACTCCTAACTTTCCAGACAGTTGTTTCTATATCAGTTACCTTTACGGCTTCTTAGACGAAGGTTGCGCTGCTTGTCTATTTTTGGCAAAAGTGTTTCGGACATTTTGAGGGAAGTAACAACATAGGATGGGGATTCTCAGGAACAACTGTGCTCCTAACTACTTTTTTCTGGAGAATATTTGCTGAATTACCTGAACAACTCTGTTAAAATGGCTTCCTTCACATTGGCTGTTGCCACCTCTCTCTGTACTCCGGTGGCTGCTCATTTTTCTTGGTCACAGATCTTTCTCATACATTGCTTCCATAAAGTCTCTCAAGTTCGGCCGGGCCCATGTATCAATTAAAAGGTAGAACATCCCTATCATATAATTTCAATCCTGAAACCTCGATGTTCATACATACGGCTGAGTTACTTTTTTACATTTTAAGCCGAATTTCTTAAGATAAAAACAACAATTAAATAGTTCAGCTATGCCTAAACAATATTATTCCATCCACCTTATAGTTTTGACTTGCGCCCTGAGATCCCCCTATATTTCGGAGCAGAAGAGACAGAAACACGTAGTGAGAATTTTGAAAGTCCAATAGACAGTCTCACCGTAAAAGAGTGTATTGAGTCTTTGAAAGAAGGCTTTTTTTTCAAAATTGCATTGAAATGGTGGTGAGTACATTGAATTCGGTACACTAACTATTGTCTTTTCAATATCTTGTATAAATTGAGAGTTATTTCAATATACAGCCGTTACGTCCCTGTCATCTTTTATATAACAAGATAATGTTCTTTAAACATACGAGTATATTTATTTTGAAAATAGAGCAATCCATACTTAAATTATTAGATAATAAAAAGGCATTTTGGCAAATAAATATTTTTATTCAATTCACAATATATGCCTTTTTATTATCTAACATATATTTATATGCATTAAATAATATTTAGAAGGAATAAAACCATTAAGAACTTATTTTTACTTTCAGAAGCAAACTTTTTACTGTCTTTACTGTGATGAAGAAATATTGGAAGAGTTTGGATTATCAGTGGTGAATCCTCCCAGCAGGTTTTCCCCAATTTAATCCACCATACTGATATTTAGTTATAATACTATATAGGACGATTTTTCTTATATAGGTGACACCGTAGGGTGGAATCTTAGCTGTGGTATCCAATCAAACTATGAGCATAAACTTCTAGGACAAAATAATTTCATAAAAATCATAGACTGTGTCCTAGAATATATACCGTAAATTTCCATATATGTGGCTATAGATGAATATATCAGATTATTTATCTAAAGTATGTCAGCAAGTAATAAATGGATGCTTCCTAGAAGAAACCTTTTAGAAATTTCAAAGGCGTAAGATTCTTTTTAATATTAAACAATTTCTACTGCCCTTACTGCAATGGAAAAATTAATGCCAGGCCCTCTCATTAATTTTTCCATTGCAGTAAGGGCAGTAGAAATTGTTTAATATCAAAAAGAATCTTACGCCTTTAAAATAGTTTTGAATTTTGATAACAGATGGCGCGCTAGTGCATCATATTATAAATGTAATTATGTCAAGATTTTAAGAGAAATAAGGGAAGGTGATGTAAACTCATGTGTGTGACAGAATAAATTAATATACATGACCTATGTGTATTCAAATATACATACGAATGCTACACACACAATTTGGACTTGGTATTGGAAGGAATTATGGCCGAGAAGATATATCGAGTGTAAATTATGCTGGGAGAAAGTAATTATATTCTGGGGTTAAATCATGAAGAGTGAACTGAGGACGGAATAATTGCTATAATGGTGGGTGGATGCACCGCCTCCAGAAAAAAAGAGATAATAAATGAATGCCTCAACTTCCAATAAGGGGAAAGGAAGGAGAAAATCTAAAAATGGCAAAACTCAAACTCATTTGCATCAAGCAGGGGAATGGGGAAATATAGAAGCCCCAGAATTAATCTTAATTCGAGATCCTCCCTGGATGGTTAGAGAGGGCCATTCATCAAATCGCCTGCCACAGGATTTTCCAAAAGTTTCTTATAAATTAACAAGATGGCGGAGGGTTACAATAAATGAGAGCTCCAGACATGCAGGAAACTTTATCAGGAAAGGATTAGCGGGATAATTGGCCGCTAAGGATGACAAATATTCGTCCGGGATAATTCTGCCACAATTTATCTTAATGTTGGCTATAAAAAGACCAAGTGATGAGAAGCTGAAACAAATTGAATTGATTTTTGCGCAAAGTTTAGAGACGCACGTTATTCGGGGCGTAGTAATATCCCATTAATCACCATTAGTTTTGCCAGTTCCACCCTCCTTGCCAAAATAAGATGAAATTTAATTAAAACAAAGTCTTGCGCTCTCTGATAAATCTAGTTTTTTGGCTCGGATAAAAAAAAAATATTGTAAAAATCCTCTGATAATGGAGATGGTGTTTTTTATTAGGGGTTCCCCCCTCCCCCAATTTTATAGAAAAGATGCTATGAGTGATGTTACGAGGGTAAGATAAAAGAAAAAATATTTGTGTTTTCACGCTAAATGCTTTTAGGTTTTTATAACTTCCATCGCCCCGGGTAATTCATCAAAAATAATTTTAAAGATTAAAGAATGGAAGAATTGAGAGGGTGTTAGAAAAACAGCGAGTGGACAGACCTGTCATGGCCCAACGATCACTTCCAAGATGACCTGATTTTTAATTATCAATATGGTCTGAATATTAAATGCTGGCAAATTTTAATTGTCTCTACCTTATATATAAACTAGAAGAATGACCTGGCTTCGCCCGAGAAATCCCCCGAGTGAAGTATCCTTCATACTGAAAGTACATCAATAATAAATAGTATAAGTGCCATAGAATAGCAATACAGAAGAAACACATAAACTACAGGAAAAAAGTGTGTAATGGCAAAAATTGTATTATATTAGTGTTTAGGTATTTGATTTAATTATTTTTTGCAATCCATTTAGTTGTTTCAAAATTAATATAGTTTAAATAAATGAGTTTTAAAAATTGTAAAAAAAAAAAAAAACATCGGCCGGGAATCGAACCGCCCGCGTGGCAGGCGAGCATTCTCGTCATTGAACTACCGATGCTTATAAGAAATGGCCATATTTGGGTATTTATTCCATTCACAAAAGCAAACGGTGACAGAATTGATTAAGAATTGTTGCTTGATGACTCTGATACTTGTATATTTTAATTCTCTCAGTTCTATATATTACCTAAAAATCTCTAGATATACATTTTGCAGGTATTTTTATATCAATATCTTCACACTGCCAGCTAAACACCTATTTGGAAAATTCTGAAGATTTTGTGAATCCATCGTGGATCTCATGAAATCAAAGCCTGACGAGGGCCATTAGCCCGAAGCCATGGCCTCCAAGTAGGAATTTGCCAAAGCTGGTGTTGTGTCTTTGTCACTTACTCGATTCTGTCAGTTTGCTAAGACGGTCAATAGATGGTGCAGAGTGTTTGCGTCTATTTAGACGGAAAAAATGGCCTTTCTCTGTATATATTATAAACATATTCTATATACAGTTATCAGCGTCATAATCAATTCTTTCTTAATCAATTCTGTCACCGTTTGCTTTTGTGAATGGAATAAATACCCAAATATGGCCATTTCTCATAACCATCGGTGGTTCAGTGGTAGAATGCTCGCCTGCCACGCGGTAGGCCCGGGTTCGATTCCCGGCCGATGCATTTTTTTTTTTACAATTTTTAAAACTCATTTATATATTATACAAGAATGACATCCACGGCGCCAATTTATAATTGTAACGAATAGTATTTGAATAAAAGCATTTAATCGGGTAAAACCTGGGCGTTGCTAGGGCCATTCGGCTAGTAATACAATAAAAAGGCCATCTCCTTATCGTGACACTGTCTTTGCCTTTTTCTTAATTTATCCACCGTATCCCAGTACAATTTCACATCTGTACTATTTTTCATATAATACAAGATCAAAAATTGTCATAATGAGCTCATATTCTTTTTCAAATTAGAAACCAAAATAATTCCAAATTTTCATATTATACACAAATTTCTCTATAGTTTAGTGGGAAAACAGTGTTCTTATAGTTTAAAATTGTTAAGTAAATTAATGTTAAAAGGAATTCTAGAGAGTGCAGCGATTTTAAGATTAATTTAAATCGAATAATTTGTAAAATAGTTAGCTTTGAATTTGACAAAAATCTCGTAAAACAACCTTCACAAAATGTTTAAAATTCCAAGAATGCTTTGGTAAATTCAGGAGGAGACCCAGTTGAAGGTAATCCTCACATTGGCAGCCATATTCCAACTGACCAATTTTCCACGTGATTCCAAATTGGGAAAATGATATGAAACGTTGTAAAGAGATAGAGAGTGCTTCAATGTACATCTTTGTTACTAAATGTCTATGATATCATTCCCTGAACACATTGATCGCACCTTGTACGAAGGAGATTTATAACAGTTATTATTTCAGACATTGTATTAAACCTTCCTGATTTACGAAAATAATGACCATTTTTAGCATAGAAGCACCAGCTAGTCCTACCTATATACAAGGTAGGATCAAAAAGTTCCCGAACTTTTTTTTTATATTTATTCATATATAGTAATTTAAACATCAAATTTTTCAGAATAGGAACCTTGGTTATCTACACATTTTTTCCAGCGTGAAAAAAGCTGTTGAGAAATGCTAGTTCAAAGTTAATTTTTCTAAGCTTGTTTAGCTCCACCGTCGCATTTTCAATTACTTCTGATGACGATGAAAAGCGCCTCCCTTTTAACGTCATTTTTAGTTTTGGAAAGAAGAAGAAATCACATGGGGCGATATCAGGAGAGTAAGGAGGATGCGGCAAGACAGATACAGAGTGTTTGGTTAAATATTCTAGAACAATAATGGCTCTATGAGCAGGGGCATTATCATGTAGCAATTTCCACTGTTTTGATTTAAAGAGTTGGTTTATTTTTCTTCTTATCGCATCACGAAGGCGCACAAGTATTTCTTTGTATGCCTGTTTATTAATAGTAACCCCAATTTTAATAAATTCATAATAGACAATTCTTTGATAATCGTAAAACACTACAAGCATTATTTATCGTAAAACCTGGTGCACCGATCCTGGTTGAAGTCCCAGAACAAAACGATAGAACAACTCTATTCAAAGCTGCTTTCAATCTAAGAGGAACTAAGATTTCACTATCGAAGGACTATAGTATGAAGATGAGAGAACAACGACGCGTTCTGAATGTCAAAAGAAGAGAACTCGTCGAAAAAGGTACTTTAGCTAAGCTAAGGGACAATAAGTTAATAATTAATGGCATAGCATATAAGGTCTGTGATGGACAAATTGTAGATGCCAATGGACATTCATTGTAGCAGGCAGATAGGAAACAATCACTTGTAAATAGTCAACCCATTGATAAACAGATCTCTAATACAATGTCCATACAGCCACTTTATGATAAAACACTCACGGCTAAAACTTCTAAAATTAAAAACTCAAAGGTTATGGAAAATATATCAGATAGAAATACAACTAAAATTAGGTATACACATACGAAAAACTGTGAATCGGCAATAAAAGACAAACAAGTAACTCAGGCCAAACATATAGATACTAAAATTAAAATATTACAATGGAATATAAATGGATTCAATGGAATAACATCAATATTTCCACTCGTTGAATACCTAAAAAAATACGAACTTTTTGCACTAAATGAAACATGGATCACTGGTGTTATTGAATTGTTAACTGATGAATATTACATAATTCAAAGCCCAGCAATGAAGACAGAACTAAAGGGAAGGGGCTCGGGGGGAATTCTGATTGGAATAAAAAAAAACTTCCAACATACGGCTAGAAAAATCGAAACAAACCCTTACTGGATATCTGTCTTGACACACAAATTTCTAGACAAAACCACCGAGAGTATATGTTTGCTGTTTGCTTATTTACCTCCTAATGCATTACAAGAACAAAATTTAACAAATTTACTTAGGCATATTGATTATCACATGAGTGAAGGTAGCGAAGTGCTAATAGCTGGTGACATCAATTTTAGAATAGGCAATGCTGGAGGCTTCCATAACCCACTGAAACTAAATTCACCCCTCAACAAATATAGGAAATCTAAAGACCTAATATCTTCGAAACTATCTGAAAAACTAATTTCCTTCACTGACTCAAATTCTATAACAATAGCTAATGGAAGAACTAGGGGTGACACGCACGGCTCATTCACTTTTATTTCAGAAAGAGGTTCATCGGTTTTGGATTATTTCATGTACACACACGGTTTAACACAGATCATATCGGATATGTGGATCGAAGAACTTTCATATTCAGACCACTTACCAATTGTTTTACAAATTAATACTGGGTATGAAGCTATTAAATCCTCGTACAAAAATGAAATACTAACACGAAAATTCATTTGGACGAAAGAAAATGTGGAGATGCTAAAACATAATTTAAGTGATATTGAAGTTGGAAATGAAACCGATATTAACACAGAAACAGCAAATTTTACTAAACAGATCTACACGGCAATGGAATCGGCAAATATAATTAAATTTGCTAAACGACGACACCAACTTTAAAAACCTTGGTATGACAAAGATTGCTATATTATGAAAAAAACGACCAAAGTAAGTTTACAAAGATGTAGGAACTCAAATAACATACACGACCGCCAAAAATATATTGAGGCTAGGAGGGAATATTTTAAGCTCCTGCAAAGAAAAAGAGATGAATTCAATAAGGACAAGAATGAAAGGATAAAGAACGCCAAAGATCCCAAATCCTTCTGGAATGCCATTGCATCCTTCAGAAAAAAACCAATAATACAAGGTGAGATTGATATAAAAGAATGGTTTTTATTTTATAAAAATTTACTGAACAAAGAAAATAAAGAAGCTACTTTTACGGTAAACCAGATGATCGGTTGGAAAAATCCAGATTTAGACGCGGAAATAACCCTTGAAGAGATCCATGATGTAGTAAAAAAACTAGCGAACGGCAAAGCAGTGGGACTCGATGGTATACCAAATGAGTTGCTAAAGAATTTACCAATACCGACTTTAAATAAATTGAAAACCCTATTCAACAAAATAATGTCCACAGAAAAATACCCGCAACTCTGGACGAACTCAATAGTACACCCTATATATAAAAGCGGTGATAAGAATAACCCAACAAATTACAGAGGGATTGCCCTCTGCAGTAATTTATCTAAATTATTTACTACAATACTAAGAAACAGATTAAACAACTGGATAGAAAAAAGAGTGATTATTTTAGAAAACCAAGCAGGTTTCCGTAAGAACCGATCATGCACTGACCACATAATACTACTGAATTCACTCATCCAATTATCTCTGAGAAGAAAACGAGGCAAGCTATATGTCTTCTTCGTCGATTTGACTAAAGCTTTCGACACAGTCCCACATGATTTACTTTGGCAAAAATTGCATAAAATGGGCATTAGCAATAAATTTGTAATGCTGATAAAAAACTTTTACCAAGAAGCTAAGATCACTATCCGATGGAAAGGACAATATTCAAATAATGTGAAAATTAATTCTGGAGTGTTGCAGGGAGAATCACTTTCCCCACTTTTATTTATACTATATATGGCCGACCTAATAGAACTTTATAATAACTCAGCACTTACAGGATTTCATCTCCCTGATTTTGGCGTTTTACACCTACTTATGTATGCGGATGACATAGCCATAATTGGAGAATCGAAAATTAATCTTCAAATTAAAATCAATTTACTAAAGTCTTACCTGGATAAGAACAAATTAGTTTTAAATGAAAATAAGTCCAAAATAATAGTATTCAGAAATGGAGGAAGACCGGCAAGACACGAAAACTGGTACTGGGGTGACACCCCACTGACTGTTGCGTCCAATATTACATATCTGGGATATCCATTCACTTCCACTATTAATAGTAAAAAAGGTAGCCCTCTTTTATAAAGCCAAAGCAAATACGGCAATAAATGCAACTATTAGACTGATAAAAAAAGAAAAAATTAACTCATTAAAAGTTGCTCTGAATCTATTTGACTCAGTTATTAAATCAATACT